CTGCCCAGATCCCTCTTCCTTCTTTCCCCCGTTTTCCTCTCCCCTCCCCCCACTTCCCCCTGCTCTCGTCTCGCCACCCTCATTCACCCCTCCTCCCCTCCTCAGTTCCTGTTCTCTGTACCGGCCTGCGCCGCCCCTCCCGTCTCCCCTTCCCCTCTGTAACTCCCCGCTCCCCTGGTACTTTTCTTCTTCCCCAGCCCCTGTCCCTTGGCCCCTCTGCCCTGTCTTCCAGTTCCCCTTCTCTCCCTTCCCCTCCTCACTTCCTTCCCTCCTCACCCTTTTCCTCCCTGCCTGCCCTCTCCCTACTGGTCCCCTTGGTTCCACCTCTCCTCCCCACTCCTGCTCCTTCTGCCCACTCCTGTCTTCCCCAACCCATTCCTCCGGCTAGTGGCTGGACTAGTGGTCTCCCTCTACTCTTCCCCTCCAGCTCCATCTCCTCCTCTCCAACTTCCCTCCCCTTCTCATGCCTCCTTGCCCTGTCACTTCTCCTTGGCCCTGTACCTTTGCCTAGGGGCAGTCCCTGATCTTTGATCTCCTCTTTCTTGAAACTGTGAAAAGGCTCACTCAGGTGCCCACATATAGGAAAAGTGGGCTGGGAAAGATAGAAACTCGGAGCGACCTAAAGACATTGGGGAGGCAGAGAGAAAGCAAGCCTTGCAGAGACATTTACAGACACTGAAATAACAAGAAAAACATCTCTGGTCCTTACCTTAGCAAAAACATGTTCTGCCCCTTTGCTAAAAAACCCTCATTTAAGAAACTGGTACCTACCACCAGCTACCAGTGCCAAACATCTGGGAGTCCCCTTGACTCCTCTCTTTCTCTCTCATACTTGCACCCCAGTCTAACAGCGATCCTGTCTGATTTACCTTCTAAATAGATCTACAATCCACCTTCCTGCCTGTGCTCCTTACCCTGGTCCTGTCCGGCATCATATCTCACCTGAACCATCACATCAGTCCATCGCTGGTCTCCTGACTCAGGCCTCTGCCCTCAGTCTGTCCCCACTGTCCTTCTAAACAAAGGCAACCTGTCATGACCCAAGTCAGATCACAGGAAAGCCAAAACCCTAAGCCGTCACCAGCCTACATGGCCTGGATCTCCTCTTGCTCTTAGACACATTGGCTTCCTAGCTGCTCCACCAATAGGTACATCTCACACGCTTCAGCCACAGGGCCTTTGTGCAGACTGTGCCCTCTGCCTGGAATACTCCCCTAGGTATCCCCATTGCTCACTCTCTTGCTTTAGGTCTCTGCTTACATGTCTCCTCAGTGAGATGGTCTTTGGCTACTCATTGCAACCCCACACCTCACCTCCAACTCCTCCATCCTCCCTACCTTGCTCTATGTTTTCCATGACATTTCTCATCACCGAACATATAAAATGAACTTAGTTCCTATGTTTATAGGAATCTGCCTCCTCCACTAGAATGTCAGGTCCTCGAGGACAGGGATTTTGCCTTGTTCGCTGCTATATCACTCATGCCTAAAATCTAAACAGCAGCTGGTCACATTGTTCAGAGATGTTCAGTTTGTTGGAAAAAAACAAATCAATTCAGAAATGGGGAGAAAAGGAGAGTGAAAAACCCCAGGACACACAAGAAAAAAAAAATTAGTATATGAGGTGACTACTGTTTAGTACTAAACTTACCGTAATAATCACTTCACATTTTATAGTATGTATAAAAATCATTATGTTGTACACTTTGGACTAATACGGTACAATGTTATATGGAAATTATATCTCAGTGAAACTAGGGGGGGAAAATCCAAGACAGAGAAAGAGGCAGTAACACACACCCGGTTTGCAGAGGATCCACAGCCTGATATATTAGGTCTTAAACAGATTTGCAGACCCAGTTAAATATGCAGCCATACAAGAGGCGATACCACCCTCTGGCGGCCATGATGGAAACGGCACCTCCCCACAATACAGAAGACTCCCTAATCGAACATCGCCGGAGTTCCTGGAGTCTTTCCAACCCGAAAATTCTAAGATGGAAATGTTTACTCCCATAAGTAATGTAGATATTTCAGTTGATTTGTAAAATGTGTAAGTTCATAAAAACTGACGAGAGAAAGTTAAAAATGCTCCAGGTGAGGATCGAACTCACAACCTCGGCATCGCTCCGCTCGCACTGTCATATAAGTACCGCGCGCTAACCGATTGCGCCACTGGAGCTCCGGCCGCACCCTTTCGCCGCGGGGTCCTTCAGTCGTTCGTGTCCACGTGACCTCGCTGGACAGTTCCACCTTACATTGTATATGTAAACAGTAATCTTTTGGTTGGCCAATAGGAGAAAGTTTGTGATCAGCTCCAGATTCTCACGCCTCGAGGGCTCTTGCTGTAAAAGGGAAAAGTCCGCGAGGCTTTTGGAATGTGGAGGTGTAGCCTGCCTGGGACTCGCCTTCTCATGAATATTCAGAACACAGGGAGGAGGAGGGGTTTTAACCCTCTGCTCCCTGGCCGGCCGGAAGGCGGCCCCTCCCCCCCGCGGGCGGGAACAGGATATGAGCCCGGGCGGCTGGGGGGAGGGGAGGCCCCAGGCAACCGACCCCCGCCCCATAGCTGGGACCAGATTCTCTCGCCGCAGATGTGGTACCGCCGCCGCCTCCGGAGCCTGGTGCCACTCATCCTGGAGTTTGAGGGGTCCAGAGTCGCGGACTCCGTTGTCCCAAATCTCTACATCGCTTCCTGAGAGACCCCAAAGCACAGGCCGCCGCGTCCAGGCTACAGGACCCCCGATATCCAGGTGCCCAGCGCCCCCTCCTGGAGGAGCCAGGAGTCCGGGACATCAGCAGCCCCGCGCGACCCTGGAGGGCGAGCTTCTTGCATCCCGGTTTGAAGAATTTAGGATCCCAGACCGGAGATTCTGTCCAGGGGTTTCCAGAAATCTGAGCTCAAGACTCCCAGGGTTGGAGGAATTTGGGTTATGGACTCCTAGCGCCCTAACCAGTCTGTTTTGGATAGAAGCGCCCACTACTTCAAGGGGACCCAAGGATTTGGGACTGTCCTACATTCCTTCCTGGAGGTGGTTTAATTCCTGCTCTTAAAGTTAGGGGAACTCAGGAATCCGGGCCGCCTACGGCCCTATCTGGAAGTCTCAGGAATTTGCGTCCCCAGCAACTCCATCTGAGACTCATGAGTCGAGGCTCCTAGCATCTTCCATTTAGAGGACCAAGAAATTCGTACCGCTGCATGCCATTCTCCAAGAAACCTCGGATTCTGGTTGCCGGAGCCTGAGAGCCCGAAGTTCACGCCCCTAACTTGCAGAGACCCAGGAGTCTTGGCTCTGCGCCTCCCCGGGGACCGTGCTGGGGTCGAATAGGAACTGGGCTGTCTTGGTTTGGGGCTGGAGACTCCCCAGAAGGTGAGGGGGGAGGCGAGGGGCCCCGACGGGCTGGGGGAGGGGGCGGCGCCGCCGCAGCCGAACAATGAGGGGGCGTGCCGGCGGGGGACGAGCGGAGGCGCCGGCGGGAGTTGGGGGCTGACGGGGTTTGTGAAGGCGCTGGGAACCCAGATTGCGGCGGTGGGGACAGTTGAGCGGATCGTGGAGGGACTGACTGAAGAGGGGAGGGGTTCGAGGGCTCTGGGCCAGAGCCCCAACTCGCAGCCCCCGGTGGGGGAGGGAGCCGTGTGCAGGACCCTGGCATCCGGTCCCCCAGCCTCCTCCGCCCTCCCCTGGGACCCCGCGGCCTCCCGCCCACGGCTTTTCCCAGCCCTGCCCCTCGCCCTAGGCTCCAGCCAGAGCCCAACCGTTCCCA